GAGGCACAGGCGGACGGCAAGAGCTGCCTCCGGGCGGCTGCAGGTGCTCTGGGCCCCGTTAACAAAGCGCCCTGAAACACGCAGAATTTTGAAGGCAGACTGGTAAGGCAGAACATTTCGGAGCCCTTCATAGCTAAATTGGTATCTGCACGAGGGCCTCAGTGTTGGTTTTTCATGGAGCCACAGACCAGTTTGGGTTGGGAGAGACCTTAAGGCCCCCCCACTCCCACCCCCTGCCATGGGCAGGGACACCTTCCATAGCCCAGGGTGCTCCAAGCCTCATCCAGCCTGGCCTTGGACACTCCCAGGGATGGGACATCCACAGCTTCTCAGGGAACCTGTCCCAGGCCCTCACGCTCACCCCGTGTGCGCTACCCTCGGGTTTTAGCGAGCCGCTCACATTCGCTCTCCCGTAGCGGCACTGGGCTGTAGGCCTGGGCAGCTCTTGGCGGGATCAAGCGTACGGGTAATGGCAGCCGAGAAATGAAGGTACGTCAGAGGAGAGTCGGTTGTTCTCTTGATGTTTGCCAGTCTCTCATCTTTTAATAAAAAGCACCACAGTTTGGGGTAGTTTTTTTAGTGTAGGTGCGATATTTGTTTTTCCCTTAGTTCATCACAGGCTGACACCACTGTTGTGGTCTCAGGGAGGTTAAAGCACGTTCTGCCCAAAGTTCAATAAAAACAATGTTTTTATAACAAAAAGTGTAATGAAAAATAGAAATCATTTTGAATAGGAAGGCAGGAAGAAATGCAGTTATATTTTTTGGTGTTTAGCTGTTTATTGGGCTCCCTGGATGCAGCAGAATGTTAACTTCACATCTGTTTTACATTCCAGAAGTCACCACAGTGACAGTAGCCAACGTCGGGGCCTCCGCAGACAATGTTTTCACTACGTCTGTGGCAAATGCAGCTTCAATTTCAGGACACGTGCTGGTAAGTCTCTGGGCTTTCATTTGAGGCCTTGCGCAAAGTCCCGCGTACTTTCTTCATGTAAATGAGGAGCTTGGTTTGTGCTCCAGCTGTAACGAGGTCAGAAACGTGTTGTCATTGCAGTACACAGGCTTTAAGCCACGAAACCATTAGCTGGGGGGAACCAGTTTTTTCTTTGTCACTTGGAGAGGTTTTTTACCTTTCCACCCTCATTTACTCATGGTGACCTGGAACATGTAACCCTTGAATTTGGTTGGCTGAAACCTCAAAAGCTAACGTAATAACTGCCCTGCTGATTGGTGTTTTAGGGTACCTTTGAGAAGATTTGGAGGAACGCTAAAATACACTGCTATTTTAACTCTATCCATTTAAACTCTTTATTTCTTCCATAGTCTGGGAGAACGGCCCTCCAGATTGGGGACAGCCTGAACACTGAAAAAGCCACTCTCATCGTGGTACACACAGATGGCAGCATCGTAGAAACCACAGGGTTGAAGGGGCCATCAGCACCTCTCACACCAGGTATAAGGCAATCTGGTTTTGCAGTCTCCTTGCCCCGCAGGGGTTGCTTTTTCTCTGTTTAATTGTGTCGCTAAGGTTAAAAACCATCATGTGCATGATGTTATGCCGTTGCCTTATAAGGGTTGTTTGTCCCTTCTTCACATGGTACTTGTGTTTCTTGGGAGTAGAAGAATACTTAGATTTTTTTTGTTTGTTTCCTGTCAGAAATAGGTTTCATTTTCTTGTTCTTTGCCCTAACCCTGGCGGATAAGCTTCCTGAAAAATCCTGCCCTGTTGCTGCGCTGTCACAGCGCCTTTCTGCACCCATCCTGCCCTCAAAGGGAGATGAATCATTTTAGTGTAGATTATAGAAATATGAATTTCCCAGTTCTGCACGTGGGTTCTATTTAGAGAGTCCTCGAATATAGTCCAGTGGATATTCAGCTCTGTTCAGTGTCACAGGAGCTGGTGTCTGTCGCTGAGGTTTGCTCACGGCTGCCTGGCAGTTTCCTTTCTGCCCACCGGGCGGCACAGCAAACCCTCGGCTGTTGAACATCCCCGAAGGTCCAGCCGGCTGCTTGCACCTCGGCAGGTCACAAGCTCAGCGTTTCCAGCGCGTTTCCTAAGAGGCAGTTTGTTTTATTTTCAGCCGTTTTCAGAACATCCAAGCTGATTTTTTTGGGGGCTGCACTGCGTAACCCGCCGCGCAGCGGGGAGCTGCCGGAGCGTGAGAGCCGAGAGCGCGACAGTACAACCCGTGTGCTTTTCGGTTGCTGTCACCTTTCTTTTCTCTTTTTTTTTCAAAGGACCGCAATCTCCTCCTACCCCTTTAACATCCGTCCAAGAAAAAGCTGGAACCAAGTATAACTGGGACCCGTCTGTGTATGAGAACGAGCTCCCGGTGAGGTGCCGGAATATCAGCGGCATTCTGTATAAAAACAGACTCGGCTCAGGTAACGGCGGCCTTCTTGGGTGGGGAAGTGTGACGGCTCCTTCTTCGTTTGGTGCACTCTTCTTTTAGCCAGGCTACTTTTAAAGTTGATCACGAAGGGAAAAAAGCCAGTTTCCTAGCCAGCCTCGTCCTTTTTGATATTACCGTTCTCTTCTGGTTTGCTCGTCAGAGCCTGTTAAACTCAGGCCTGAGAAGATGCAGGCTGCTGTGCCGTGAGTCTCCCCGGTAACAGCTTGACTCCTCTGATGTTGTTTTTGTCTCGGAAGTAGACCCATGTTCCCCTAAAGCTCTCCAGGATCCTTGCTGGAATGGCAGATAGAGAGCTTGTCTGCTAACCGGGCTCCTTAGCTGCCTTAGCCCCTCCTGTTCTCTTTCATCTCTGTGGGAAAGCTGAAGCAGC